ACCATTGTCTCAAAGATAGCACCCAACACCCATTTTCTGTCTGTTTCTTTTATGCCACCTTTCATGTCTATCAAGTAGTGGCCATTAGATTCCTAGGGTGAATGATGCCCCTTCTTTCCTGCTAGTTCTCTTGGAAAAGGAAAGGGAGTTCTTTCCCAGGAATCCCCAGCAAACATTGTTTTGTATCTTGTTTTCCCAGACTGAATCTCAGACCATCTTTGAACCAGTTGCTTTGTCCAAGCCATGAGTGTTGCCATTAGCTTAATTTAACCTGCGCTTACTCTTGAGGTTGAGCATAATGTCAGTTCCGCCAGATTTTGTCATCATGAATAATGGGGACCATCACTGGGCGAGAAACAGTCCTGACCCCTCCGCCCTTCGTACTGCTGCGTACTTTTAAAAGACTTCTGTTCCAGGCCTTTCCACACTACACTAGTATTTTATAGCGAGTACAGTCCTTTATCAACCCAGTGTCTCTAATGTTTACCTGATGCTAAATATTTAACACATATTTCAAATATATATGCACAAACTTTGGTTTATGACTGTGACCAATACCACATGTCTGATCTAACTAGGTATTTGTTAGTGGCCTTATCATGACATTAGGAAAGTAAAACAAGGACACACACACCGAGTACCACAGGGACCTGGGCAGTAAATGCCTTGACGCTGCTCACTTAGATTGAGTGGTACAGACGTTATCAGCATGTGGCCCCCACGTATCGGGGCAGCCGCACTCCTCGCTCTGCCTGCAATTGCTTCGCCTGCCTGGTATTTGCAGGTCCTGTTCACAAGGTCTTGGCCACAGCACAGTCATTTCTCTCACTTTATTACCATCACATCTGATTCCAATTTGCTACCAAATTGAGTTTCCAGTCCCGAGCCTGACATTCAAGCCGTCAGGTGGATTAGCTCCTCCGGCTCGGTTAGCTTGGAAGCGTCAGGTCAGCTGACAGCGGCCTATTGAATGTCCTTGCCCCTCATCTCTGAGCCCGGGCTGCTGTCCCGCGGAGCCGCAGTGCTGGGCTGCACACCGTAACCTTTCTTCTTGTTTAGAACTCATAATTCTAGACGAACTCGAAAGACTGATTAAAAACAGAGCTGGTGTTTATCCCTTATCTTGCTGTTTCAGCGGTTTATTTTTTCCCCTGGAGCAGAGCAGCCAGTGGATGGTGGAGTCATTTGGTGAAATATGATTGATCCAACTCTTTGGGATCACTCATTATGCCTTTTCCCTTTTATAGTGATCTATTTGCATATAAAGTTGAAGTGACGTCTGACATTTTCTTTCTGTTATTAATGCTAACATCTCAGGTACCCTTCCTTTTCTTTAATCTGCTGAATCCAGTAAGAGTCAACTTACTGCACAGAGTAGTGTTTCTTTATTGGACCCCTTGGCGTCTTGCTGTGCAGTGGGTCTCTAAGTCTTTTCTACAAGGAACAGTCCGGTGAACAAGTACTTCTAGGAATCTGAATACAAAACTAATTTCTCAGGGCTTGTCAGAGCCAAAATGCACAAATAGAAAGTTACTCATTGGTTTTGCATTTCCATTGCAGTTCTGAAGGAAAACTGTCATAGTCAGAGACTTTAGTCAGTGAAGGTATATTTACGTTTCAGAATCAGGGAGCCAAGTTCAGCAAACACTATAATTTCATGGAGCTAATCAAGGCTTAAGCAATAAAGCAAAACAAAACAGCAAAAAAAGCATTTCACCACTGACCCCTACAGACCTTGAAAGGAAGTTTGCTATTGGAAGAAGGAAAAAGATACTCTGTTCCTAAAATTGTTGATTGTTTCTTCTTGCAATTAAACAGTGATGTGATTATTATAACCCTGTATCAAAATGCATTTGCCACTTAATCAGTCCGGCATCATATCTAAAGCAGTTATCCTCCCCTTCAGCCTGCAACGCTCAGGCCATGTTCTGTGGAGTGAACTACATTGTCTGGAAGTGAGATCTCAGGCCACTGTCCGGGTAGGCATTGAAGGAGCCCATAAAAATAGGGAACAGGAAAGGTGAGTTTGAAGCTGGGGGGAAAACACTTTTCTAAAGATTATGCCTGAGCTCCTGCAAGGCAAAAACATAAATTATAGTTATGGGAATGGAAAACCAAACTAGCCGAGTCTTTAGAGTTTATAGTGTGTCCTTTTTGAATTTAAATAGTCCAGTAACTCATTGCTTCCTATTCTTTAATTATTGTCATCAGGTAATCATTCTTGAGTACCCTGGATTTGAAAACTTCATTAATGGGTGGAGGTACTCCTGTGTCCCTTTGTGTGTATTTGTTTGCTTGTTGTTGTTTTCCTACAGCCCCTCTGTAGTTAGGTTCATAATGGTCTTAATTAGAGATAAGTGCGAGAGTACCCTTTTAAAACTAGAAAGTGCTCTATTAATTGGTGTTGCTGTCTAGTTACCTTTTAGAGGTTCATTAACCTACTTCAAATATCCTAAGTCATAATTCACATTTATTTAAAAAATAACACCAGAAAGAAGTCTTTTGATTTATTTTTAAAAATAAAGTGTAATTTGGGTATGCACAATGTTATGGCATGAGTCTGTTTCTGTTGGGGACAAATTGTCTGACTTAACTGTTCTTTTCATTTCACAAGAGTAGACCTTTGCAGCCCCGGCTGCCTCCGCCGGCCCTCACAGCCCCGGCTTCGGGCTTCGTCCGGAATGTCGTCCCGACGGTCGTTCCAACTGTTCAGCTGTTCAGTTGATTTGCATATTACACTTTTATTATTATAGACTAGAGGCCCGGTGCACAAAAATTTGTGCACTCCGGGGGGGGGGGGGTGAGGGGGGGGTCCCCCAGCCCGGCCTGTGCCCTCTCGCAGTCTGGGACCCCTCAGGAGATAACGACCTGCTGGCTTAGGCCTGCTCCCGGGTGGCAGAGGGCACGCCCAATCCCTAGGTGCAGCCCCTGGTCAGGCTCAGAGCAGGGCGGATCGGGAGGTTGCGATGCCACCCTCAGTCATGCTCAGGGTAGGGCCGATTGGGGGGTTGGGGCACCGCCCCCTGTCACACTCAAGGCAGGGTAGATGGGGAGGGTGCGGCGCCACCCCTTGTCACGCACAGAGCAGGGCTGATCAGGGGGTTGGGGCGCTGCCCCCTGTCACTCACAGAGCAGGACCCATCAGGGGTGTTGGGGCTCCGTACTCTGTCACACACAGAGCAGGGTCGATCAGGGGGTTAGGGAGCTCCCCCCTGTCATGCACAGAGCAGGGCCCATCAGGGGGTTGAGGAACTCCCCCCTGTCATGCACAGAGCAGGGCCGATCAGGGGGTAAGGAGCTCCCCCCTGTCACACACAGAGCAGGGCAGATCAGGGGGTTGGGGCGCTGCACCTTGTCATACTCAGGGCAGGGCCAATGGGGAGGTTATGGCTCTACCCTGTCACACACAGAGCCGCAGGGCGATCAGGGGATTGGGGAGCTCCCCCCTAGCAGGCACAGAGCAGGGCTGATCAGAGGTTTGGGGTGCCTTCCCCTGTCATGAACAGAGCAGGGCGGATAGGGAGGTTGTGGCCCCGCCCCCTGTCACACACAGAGCCGCAGGGTGATCAGGGGGTTTGGTCGCTGCCCCCTGTCATGCTGATCCCGGTGCCGGGAGGCATATTACCCTTTTACTATATAGAATAGAGGCCTGGTGCATGGGTGGGGGCTGGCTGGTTTGCCCTGAAGGGTGTCCTGGATCAGGGTGGGGGTCCCCACTGGGGTGCCTGGCCAGTCTGGGTGAGGGGCTGAGGGCCGTTTTCCGGCTGGCGAGTGACTGAAGCTCCCAACCGCTCCTTTTTTTCTTTTTTTATTCTGGGCCAGCTTTAGCTCTGAGGCCTTGCTGCTGAAAACATTGATACAATGTTGCGGTCCGGCTGGCTGAAGCCCGGCTGACTAACGCTGGTTTCTGGGGTTTTGTTTAGCTTCTATATTTGCAACATAGTACATAGTTGCTTAGAGTTGCAGCTGAGAGGCCGGCAAGTGAGGCGGGGAACGTTGGAGTTCGCCATCACTGGAGCAAGCAAGCCTCCCTGCTCGCTTCAGTGCATGGCTGCTGGCCGCCATCTTGGCTGACAGTTAATTTGCATAAGGATATGCTGATTAGCCAATGGGAAGGGTAGCGGTCGTACGCTAATTACCATGTTTCTCTTTTATTAGTGTAGACTAGAGGCCCGGTGCACAAAAATTTGTGCACTTGGGGGGGTCCCTCAGCCGGGGCCTGTGCCCTCTCGCAGTCTGGGACCCCTCAGGGGATGACCACCTGCTGGCTTAGGCCCGCTCCCTGGGGATTGGGCCTAAGCTGGCAGTCAGACATCCCTCTGGCAGCCCCGGAGCCTTCGGGGGATGTCCACTTGCCAGCGGGGAGCGGCCTAAGCTGCAGTCGGACAACCTTAGCGCTGCTGAGGAGGCGGGAAAGGCTCCCACCACCACTGCTGTGCTGTCAGCTGTCAGCCTGACTTGTGGCTGAGCAGAGCTCCCCCTGTGGGAGCGCACTGACCACCAGGGGGCAGCTCCTGCATTGAGCGTCCGCCCCCTGGTGGTCAGTGTGTGTCATAGTGACCAGTCACTCCCAGTCGTTCTGCTGTTAGGGTCAATTTGCATATTATCTTATTATATAGGATAATCCCGCAAGACTTTTCCTCCTTATGTCTGTTTCTTCTTTGGATAAGGCCTTTGGTTCATCAGATTTTTGTCTTATGCTCAATTATAGGGCCAGGTAACTCAACTCAGTATTTTACTGTCATTGCTTTGTGAGGAGTGGTGTCTTCTGCTCTGGAATTTAGGTAAACAGTGTTTGTATCTTGAACACAATAGATAAAAGGAACAATATAAGGAGGGATCCAGCATAAAATTATGACATTAAAATTTTTTATGCATAGCAAATGCCAAATTACAAATAAGGAAGGACAATACATTTCTTGTTATCCATTTCCTGTCCCAGTGGTCTGAGGGAATGTAGCTTCTCATATATATCTTTGTGTTTTTTTTTTCTGTTTCAGAAGGAGCTAAGTCTTCCCAGGAGAGGAAGTTTGTAAGTAGCACGATTCTGTTCCTTTTTTGGGGGGTGTTGGGGGGTGGGGGGAAGGTACAGTTTGTAAAGTGATTATTCTCTGACTTGTTAGATTTTCAGTGGCAAATGGAAAATGAATGATAATCAACCAAATTAGGAAAACCAAAAAGTGCGTTTCTTTATAAATGTTCAATATTAGTGATTTCAAGGTAACTTGAAAGTTTTCAGGTTGTTTTTTTTTTTTCCTTACTGGCATTGTAAACCAAAATGCATATTTATTCCTAGAAGAATCTTAATTTAAATTTTAAAATTCTATGTAAACAAGCAAAAACATTATTTGGTCTGCAGATGGTATAAATTGGTCTGAATCAAGAATTATGATCTGGAAATTTCTGATTGTTCTTTATACTATGGATTTCATGCAGAGTAAATAATGAAGTTTATATTTGAATTAAGGAAGACTTTAAATGAACTGAGCTCTCTACTGTTAAGATCTAGGTCTTAATGAATTGATCCTTGTAAGGCTTTTGTATTTAAATAGCAGATTTATAACTCTTGACCTGATTTCTTCATAGTGGTTTTCAACCTTTTCTTTGCATACATATTCCTTTTAGCCTTTAATAGCTCACACTTTTTTTTCTGTTTCTGAATTAGTATGTTTTCTATAAACTATTAAAGTAATGTTAATTAGCAAATTACATTCCCCATATCTATTTAAGGGCCAAATCTCTTTTAATATTTGTGCAAGTCTCAATTCTGTTAATGTTAACATGAGTTGATGGGGGGAATATAAAGAAAATATTAAATTTCTCTACTTGAGAGTATGAATCTTTAATAAAAAATTAAAAATGATGGCCTAGATTTGTTTGGAGTCTATGCTCTGACTACTCAATAAAAGAAAGTTAGAATTACACTTAAGCCGTTTAAAATCCCCTTCCTAATAAAAATCAGTGATCAGTCAGAATATGGGAATAAAGCACAGTACATATCTCAACAGAAATCTACACTTTTTATTATTAGAGAAATTAATACTTCTAAGTGAAGCAAACCAAAAAATAAGCATGTTATTTTGAATTTTCAATTAAATCCAAATATCCCCCAAAGAATTAATGATGTATGATATAGATGTTCTGGGACTTACTGTCACTCAGCATTTTCCATGACCACCAGACAGATGCCAGTAATTACTCTTCTCATGCAAGGTTCTTTTATGACTTTGAGAAAAGAAAAATCTTTAAAAAATAAATGCTACAATGGTTTAAATACAAATCGAATGAAGAAGGGCACAAGTGTGTCTTTATTAGGTATTGATGCTTGCCAACATAATGGTACCTGATTATTAAACCTGCTACCACTTTCTCAGTTTATTTACTGCATAAATGCTTTCAGATCTCTTAGCACCTTCTCCCAGAAAGAATAGGGATTTGATCCCAATGTGCTGTGGAATCTTCTTTCTATGGGAACAGTGAGCAGTGGCATGGTGTGCTGTATTCCTCATTGCCTCTGATTACACAGAGAGGGGGCCGGACCTGTCGGGGTGTGCACCTTCAGACAGCCTGCGCTCTTCCAAGGGGCTTTTGTTGTATCTGCCGCTTCTGATTTGTATGTTTTGAAAGATAATATTTGAAAAATGCATTTACATCTTTGAGACACATGAATTCTTCAGATTAAAAACATTATTTTAAGTAAGCTTAAAGATAATTTTATGTCTAGAATCATAGGAACATAATATTTAGATATATATTAAGTTTTTATAAATAAAAGACAGAAAATAGGCTTTTTAAATTACAAATCCTATATAATAAAAGCCTAATTGCAAATAGACCAAACGGCAGAATGACCGATTGCTATGATGCACACTGACCACCAGGGGGCAGACGCTCAATGCAGGAGCTGCCCCCTGGTGGTCAGTGCGCTCCCATGGGGGGGAAGTGGGGAGTGCCACTCAGCCAGAAACCAGACTCACAGCTGGTGAGTGCAGTGGCAGTGGCGGGAGCCTCTCCTGACTCCACTACGGGCGTGCGGTAAGGAGCAAGAGGTCCCGGACTGTAAGAGCCCCGGACTGTGAGAGGGATGTCTGACTGCCAGCAGGCGGACATCCCCCGACGGGTCCCAGACTGTGAGAGAGTGCAGGCCAGGCTGAGGGAAACCCCCCTCCCCCAATGCACGAATTTTGTGCACCGGGCCTCTAGTTTTAAAAAAGCAAACCATATTCTGTTTAAGAAAAAAGAAATTTAGATCCTCACTAGTTTATAATTTATTATCATTTTCTCAAGAACTATCTGAAGTCTGCGCTGATTCATATATGACTTAAAAGGTTGCAAAGGCAATGACTCTGAACTTTTTTTTTGTTTGTTTGTTTGTTTTTATGGTACAAAGGGCAACAGACCAGAGAAGTCAAGGGAATTAACTTTCTGGATGAGATGTTACTAAATAATCAAGTGATCCCAGATCAGTTTTCCAGAGACTTTTCCAGCCCATTACCAACTTCAAGGCCGCAGATTCCATCTCTGTTCTGGTCCCTGGGGTAGCTGGATTTGCATTCGTCCTCTTCTTCCTTTCAAAGAGGAATTTAGCCATTTGCCAAGGCTCTTAATCCCAGATTCTTCCAGCACTTTTCCTCTTTTTCAGTGGAACTGAAGTTGCCATACTCTTTGCTAGCCTTCCTCTCAGCTGCCTCTCAAAATCTATGCATCCTTTAAATAGGTCATGATATAGTTATATAATGAAATACTATACAGCAGGCAGAATGAATGATCTAGAGCAGTGGTTCTCAACCTTGGCTGCACATTAGAATCACCTGGGAATCTTTTTAAAATCTTGATTTCTGGGCCTCATCCTCCGGAAATTCTGTTTCTTTGTTACTAATGTTGTGGCCTCACCCCATAACAAAGAAACAGAATTTCTGGAGGATGAGGCCCAGAAATCAGGATTTTAAAAGATTCCCAGGTGATTTTAATGTGCAGCCAAGGTTAAGAACCACTGCTTTAGAGTATATGTATCAATGAATGTAACTATCAAAAATAGAATGCTGAGCAGAGTTAAAAGCACATTCGAGGTATAAGATAGTATTTTCATTGTAAAATTTAAACATATGCAAAGCAAGATAGACTATTATTTCTGGATACAAACACCTACAGTCAAAGTCTAAAAACATTCATGGGAAGCATTTTTACAATACAGCTTACTTATCAGTGCAGGGAGTGAAAGAAATGGAATTTGAGAAAGCCCTACAGAAAGTTTCATGTGTATCATTAATGTGGTGGTGTGTTTGTGGGTGTTTGTAATCTTCCCTCTACATTTTGATATTCTTGGAGTATGTTATTTAAAATTTTCAGTAATTATATGCAGGTGGAATTCTAACTGCTTTACCCAAATACTTATGGAGACTTAAAGATAATTTGGAGAAAAATTTTGCAGTGATTAGAATAGCTGCTGTGGCCATACCTGTTGGTTAATGCCAAAATCCTAGGGAGAGTTATGATGATAAATTTTGGTACTTGAAGTACTTTATGGTAGACTGACTAACCTGGAGGTTGAAGGGGTAAGGCAAATGAGATGATGGCATATATAATGTACAGTGTGACATTTCACTGCAGACCTAGATTTGTTGTTTTGATTTAGTCTTTTAAGAGAAATGACTCTAACAATTCTTTGTTTTCCACAAGCTGGCCTGCAGGGTAAGGTACACAGTGTAGATGTTTGTAGATCGTTTCCAAGTCTGTCTCCCCTTGCTAGACTGTGAGCTTCCCAGCCCAGCGAATCACCTGCTTTTTCACTCTAGTTCAGTGATGGCGAACCTTTTGAGCTCGGCATGTCAGCATTTTGAAAAACCCTAACTTAACTCTGGTGCCGTGTCATATATAGAAGTTTTTTGATATTTGCAACCATAGTAAAACAAAGATTTATATTTTTGATATTTATTTTATATATTTAAATGCCATTTAACAAAGAAAAATCAACCAAAAAAATGAGTTCGCGTGTCAGAGGTGTCAATAGGTTTGCCATCACTGCTCTAGTTCTTCACAGTATCCGCTACCTGAGGGCCAGGAGCTGCAAGCTCAGTCCTTCTTGATTTAAATTCAGTGTGCAACACATAGGCCCTCCTGACGTTCTTTTGATTTTTCTCATAATGCACATCTAAACTGTCCATATTTATGAAGGTGCCAGTAGAGCTGTGGGCCTGTCTCATATTTAGAACATGGGTCCTGAAAGGATGTTTCTAAGTGGGAAAACTCTCTGGGAGGTGTTTTCAGGCAGGGAAAGTGGAAAAAGGCTAAAAGCCTAAGGTGTGAGTTAATGGATGGTTCAGGGGCAAAACTGTTGTGTTCCTGGCAGCTACCCTTCATTTACAAAGGACCCCTTTGTGTTTGTTAATTGCCCAAGTCAACAGCTCTCCAAGATGCAGAGAGCTTCACTTTTCATGGCATTCCCTGGAGAGAGGAGCAGGAATGGCTGGGCCAGCTCCCTTGCCTCCTCCAATCTTGCTTTGTAATGGACTTTCAGATTTCCCTACACAGAGAAGGAAACTTGCTCTGTCTATTCTCAGCAAGTAAATTCTCCCTGCTACTTAAACTAGCCTTTCTTCTCCACCTTTCCATCGTGAGCACTGTTCCATGGAGCCCCACAGGGCTGGATTCATGCAACTCTCTGCAATTATCTATTTTAGTAGAAACAGTGGCTGACACTTGGCCAGTTTCTTGACTGGATGGGTTTTGGCCATACCCAGTTGACAGGGGTGTCCAGTGGCAGAGACCCAGAGAGAAGCAGCCCCTAGGTGCTCAGAAGCCCTGGAAAAGTGTGTTCTGCCTGCTGAGGAATTGCTGGGAGCATTGCAGTTACTAGAATGCAGCTTAGCAATCCTTTTGGCTTAGTTCAATTTACTGCTGCAGCCACAGTACTAGTCTCTAGTAACTCTCTCTCTCTATGGAGTTGTGTTCCTTCTTCATCACCCTTCCCTTTCATCATTGTTCTGGAAGTGGCAGGGCTCTTGCAGGGCTGGCCATGGGATCAGTAGTGCAGGTG